GATCCTTAAAGGGGGTTGATATCACGCTCCCAAAGTTGGGGGCAGGAGTTATGTGGGATTTGAAGGCCAACCCTTGGGAAGGTCCCCAAGGTTGAGAAACATTGCCAGGCTAAACATTGGGGGCCTCTGCTGCTGTGGGGCTCCAGCCGGCTTCTTTCCCCGGCTCTGCTTGGGTGCGGGTGTGTCTGTGTAAAGCTGTCTACAGATCACTGGGATTCCCACTCCCTAAGATAAAATGGCTGGTGCCCATAAACGTGGAAGTCTTTGGGTGTTTTCACACAATCAGTATTGGGCAAGATGGCCCCTTCCAACATTCCCAGGCTAAGATTCTGATTCCCTAATTCTGTATTTGATTTGGTTTTATTTCCACAGCTTACCTTAAGCCAGCTAGCCATTAGTGTTTCTCAACCTTTGCAGCTGTAAGAGGGGTGGACTTCAACTCCCAGAATTCCCCAGCCAGCTGTGAGATGACACTCCACACTTTTCAACTTTTTGACTACACTCTGTGGACAGATGACACTCCACACTTTTCAACTTTTTGACTACACTCTGTGGACAGATGACACTCCACACTTTTCAACTTTTTGACTACACTCTGTGGACAGATGACACTCCACACTTTTCAACTTTTTGACTACACTCTGTGGACAGATGACACTCCACACTTTTCAACTTTTTGACTACACTCTGTGGACATTCCCCAGCCAGCCATGGCTGGCTGGGGAAGCACAGCTGGCTGGGGAATTCTGGGAGTTGAAGTCCACCCCTCTTAAAGCTGCAAAGGTTGAGAAACACTGCATTAGAGGGTTCCCCCATAGTTCATGGCATGGATGCACAACTCAAGGGAGTCCACAGAGTGTAGTCAAAAAGTTGAAAAGTGTGGAGTGTCATCTTTACAAAATTTGTCCACCCTTGACAGAAGTGTGTACTGTAGTGAGTGGTAGTAATTAGGTGAAAAAGAAAATACTTACTTCACTTTATTATGGATCGCAGGCCCCCAACTACTAAAAAAAAATACAACATATAAAATACAGGGACCAAAACAGCTCATTTTCCTGTGTCATTCATTAAAATATCCCTAAGTAAACTAAAATCCCTATTTAGGAAGGTGGAGGCGCTACTTTTCATTCCACCCTCATTTTTAGTTTATTCCAAAATGTAGGTGCCATAGCATCTCTCCAAATATTCACATGTAATACAAATAGACTCAGAGTAGAACATGTTTTAAGGCCCCTTTTTAATGGTATCTCAGCTCCAGTGGCAAATTATTTCGTAGCCTGAGTCTCTCCACGGAAAAGGGAGAATCAGCTGGCGAGGGAACCCACAAAGATGCTCCACCGAGGATTTATTTAAAAGTGTGAAGCAGACTTACAGAGGCACAAATGCAGTCTTTTTGGTGGTGTCACTGTATCTGGGCTGCGGATATCCAAATGGTCGTTAGAGGACAGTTAAGGGAGCTTTTCTGTCCTTTTGTCACCCTTTCGGGAGGTAGGACAAAGATCAGGAACTTCGGGATCAAGTGAGAAGCCTTTTTGCAAACAGTGTATGATAAATCTGGTGGGATGATCGATATTGCTCCCCCCATCATCTTGAATTGTATACTGGCTTTTATAGAATTGTTACTTGTGATTTTAATTGGGGATATTTATGTTTTTATTGTTTTGGATTTTAATTGTAAGCCACCCAGAGTCACCCTCTGGGGGAAATGGGTGGCATGTAAATTTAATAATATAAATAAATGAATAAATAAACCTTTGTGTAAAGACTAAGCCTTTCTGCCTAATCGCTTGCAAAAGATTGGCCAATGCATGGAGGTCGGGACAGTGAAAGAACCACAGGTTTCCTTTCCTGGTTTGTTTTAGTCATTTTAAAAACATCCATATGCAGAACAAACCTGTTTTGCTTTGATGCCTAAGCAAGGTGTTTCAAAAGAGTAGAAAACAGTGATGGCGATCCTATGACACGCATGCCAAAAGTGACCCATCACAATGTTTTGGGTGGCACGCCAACGTTCACCAACACCCGACAACAACTATTCTCCCTGTTTGAGTTACCAAAAAAACTGAGTTTGTTTTACTCGTATTTCATTTTTGTAATTATTTGACGTTTCTTTATATAATACATAGCACCGCACATAACACCCGACAACAACTATTCTCCCTGTTTGAGTTACCAAAAAAACTGAGTTTGTTTTACTCGTATTTCATTTTTGTAATTATTTGACGTTTCTTTATATAATACATAGCACCGCACATGATTGGACTGTATTTTTTTAAAATAAATGAATATGTAAAGAATTGTTTCTCTTTGCTTCGGGAGGGGGTGTGTGTGACACATCAGCAGAGTCAAGTTAGGCATTTTCTGAATGGTTGACATGCCGAGCCCAAAAGGTTCCCCATCACTGGTATAAAAGGAGGGTGGCCATAAATCAGTGTTGTCCAAACTTGGGCACTTTAAGATGAGTGGACTTCAACTCCCAGAATTCCCCAGCCAGCCATGGCTGGCTGGGGAATTCTGGGAGTTGAAGTCCACTCATCTTAAAGTGCCCAAGTTTGGACAACACTGCCATAAATGAACTGCAAAATTCCAGATGAGCGCTAGATGGCAGCGAACAGTGAGATGAGTCCTTCACTGCTGCCATCTACTGTTCATCCTGTTCTTTGCAGCCTAGAACAGGGAGTCCTAATGAAGACATTTGCACAGGCCACACACACCACCAGGGGAGGGTAGAAGCATCCAAAATATACTCCCATATTTGTCCTTTTCAGGTAGATTCATATTTTTCATTCAAGGCAGGAAAACAATCAGCCGACATATAAATCCCAAGAGTAGTTTCAGTACTTTGGGGCTCTCTACTTGCCCTTGTTTTATTGGATCATTAACTTCAGTGGATGAGGAACGAAGTGGAGGAAAAAAATTAAATTGGTAGAGGAGATGAAAATTGATGGCGATTCAGTGGATCTTCGGGAGGCTTGAAAGTGCCCTGTGCAGATCTAAGACCTCAATTCCCCAATCAAGTGTTCCTGGGACCCTGGTTGTTCTGCTTTTATCAGAGGCAAATCCCACTGTGTTTATTGATGCTTTTTGTAAAGTACAATAAGCGTGCGCAGGAGTGTCTCTTTAGCCTCGTTCATTTACCATTTTTTCCTCCCTCCCTATACCTTCAGTCACTGAGGGCATTTAAAACTAGACAAACCTAAAAGGAGGGTTTTAAAATAAATCAAAAGACCAACATTTTTATTACTCGGTCAACATTCCAAGGCATTTTTATTCTCCAAGGCTTTTAACAGATGATTGATGGCAACGGCTTCTATTTCTTTGTTTTTATAGAGATTTATGGCATTTGTGGCCATAAAGGGAGTGTGCAAAAACCTTCCTTACACGTGCAACTCATTACTGGCTATAATGGTTAACTTCCAGATATGTTCGGGACTGCTGCCTGATTTAATTATATCCCCCTAAATTGCTTAATTGTATTTTCACACTGATGTTGGTAAACTGATTTCTTAAAATAAATGGTATTAAAATACTATACATACACACAGACATGGTTATACTGTATCGGTTGAAGGGGTGGG